CCCAAACACTGCCCAAAAGTAAAATTTTGTGAAATTTGCCCCGCCTTTTTTTATCCTAGCTCCGCCCCTCGTCTGGCTGAATTTCGTTTCAAGATAAGGATGGCAGCAAAAAAATTTACATCTCCATCACCAATCAAAAATGCAAAATTTTCGATCTTTCAAAGGAAAGTTTTTGTTATTCTTTAGAGATCAAATTTCGTGGATAGAAAATTATAGATAGAACTAATGCTTAAATGAAGTGCAACATCAATTATTACCACTACGTTATAGAGACAACCAACAACAATTAATAAGCACTGCTAAACAGTAAGAATTTTGTAGGCTTCCAACTAATTTCATCATCTCCTCTGTTTCTTTATCTTTAATATTTTTCTCATTTATTATCCAACTCCATATTTATAGGTCGTTGAGCTGTACTTGATCAACGTTAAGACTTGTAGTTCCATCTTAAAAAGTGAATTGCTAAAAGGAGTAGTTTAAAACCCTATAAGTTGGTCTATATTTACATCTTTATTCGATGTGGGATTATATCCCTTAATATGCCCTCGCAGAATGGTGGCTCATTTGAGTAGACCAATCTTGAAATCCGTATGTTCATTTTTGAGTCTTAATTGGATCGAACTGGTCGTTGGAGTTTAATGAACTCTGATATCATATTAAGACTTTGGGTTCCATCTTAAAAGGTCAACTTTATTAAGAGAAGTAGTCTAAAATCTTATAAGTTAGTCTATATTTACATTTTTATTCGATGTGGAATTATATCCCTTCAAAATCAATTACAAAGATCTAGTTTGTTAGGTCTCTATTCGTAATTGGTTATTCCATAGACAAAATAAAAGTAATGGAGTTGTAATTAAAATTAAATTAGTTAAGGGTTGGTAGTATAGTCCTTGGAGGATTCGAAAATGTTCAAGATCACATATGATCAATGAAATATAGTTCGAAGTCAAAGGAGTATCAAGGTATTGCACACGTTCTGCCCTAAATTCTCAGTTACAAGTTGTGATGCATTTTTTACATAGAAAATAGTCGAATTTGAAAAATGTTATTTCTTTATGACTTATAGCTCTTTGAGTTAGATTTTCAATGTACATCGATCGCACATTTAGAAAGAAATTTATGACAAAAATTCTAACTGCTGCTTAGGGATCGCTTGTTTGCCGCCAGGAAGGCGTTTGAATGGCGATTCAATTGACAGAAGCCCTATTTTTCATAAAACTATTACTTGTCTATCCAATTCAACCTAAAATACTTCCATTATAAATATACAAGCCATGGAACGTCACAAAGTGCGGTTGAACATTATATTCATTATATAGATCATTATTAAAAATCATAAACTCTTTCCAAAAGATCTCTTGGTTCAATCACCAATATATTTTTCATATTTGCTCTCACACATTTTGGTTTATTGGTTTTTGCCATAAATCTCTATATTCAACCTAAGGATCAAAACATAGAAGATCATTAGATCAAACACCAAACAAAAACTTACATTCTCGAATAAATCTTCAAAGTTCTAAAGTTTGGAAAGAGACGCTTGGAGTTTCAGCACTTTCGAACGAATTTGTTCTTGGTGAAACGAGAGGAGAGAAAAATAGCACAGAGTAGCTCGTAAGATTGACTCACACAACTAAAGGAATTTCTTAGTGATTTACGAGTTAGGTGGTCTGAGTTAGCTAAAGTTTAGTAGTGCTTGGATTAATTGTAAGTTAACTTTTTAGTGAATTTTACTAGAAGTTTGCTCGAAGATTTTTTATTCCTTTGTGTGAAGAGTTCTTCAAAAAAAATTCCTCCTTGATCATATTTGGTGTTCATTAAATACTTTATTGCTTTTGATCTGAATGATTGTGATTGTTTAAATTGAGATTTTTAATTAGATTAATTACCTTAATCATCTAGAAACCAACATGTCATACACTGGCATTAGTGGACTTTGAAGTTTCTAAAAGCTAATTATTTCTCCTAGATTATTGGAGGAAAGCAACTTTCATACGTGGAAAAACTTGCACAATTTCGAAAGTGGAAGATAAAGAAAAGTTTATGCATCCAATGTAATAGTTTCTCCAATTTGGTAGTCAAGCAAAGTTTGTTTAGTTTTGGAAAAAGTGGAGTCCACAATAGCACCCGTCCCTTGAGATAAAACCCCAGCCAAAAATAGTCCCATACACTCCATCCATGCCCACTTCTATTCCTAAGGGCAGGGCCCACCATTCTACTCAAGAGGACAGATGTGAACAAGATTAGTGATGAGAATCATGGGGCAAACTAACAAGGACCCATTGCATATTTCAGAGTGATACACATCAATTAGAAGAGAAGAGCATAAACCAATTAGAAAATGAAAGGAATATAAAGTATGTGCAAAAACGCACAGACGTACAACAATGTATTCAACTTTTAGCTCAGTTATCGGATTTTCGTCCATGAGTACAATCCAGAAACGTCTTTCGATTCTGCAAAAGTTTGTTGGATGATGATGTCAAACTATTGGGGTCAAATTCGGTTGTTTAGGGGTCTATTTTTGTGCTTTTATGTTTTGAATTAGTTTAAGAGAATTGGATTTATTTTTAGAATTAGAGTTTTATTTTGATTAGGAGTTTATTTTATGCCTATAAAAGGCACATTCACTGTACAACAAAGATATTAATTTTTTAGGAATTAATCATAATGTGAAACTTTCTATCTTGTTCTTAACTGAACAGAATTTATCAAATATTTTTAATATTTGAGGCGTTCAAATTATCTAAACTTAATCAAAGATTGATACTCTTTGTCGCGTTCAACAATTCAAGTTAGATTTGTAAGTTTTGTGATCACGGCGCCAATATATTGTTTGCGATTGTTTTGGTTCTTTAGTTCAATAATTTATTCGGTCAAGCTTTCAAACAATCCGGGTAAGATTTTCAAGTTTTGAGATCCAGAAGTTAACATATTGTCGGCGATTAATTGGTTGCTTGGTTCAATATTTTTGAATCAATCTCAAAACTATGATTTATTGACTTTCTTGGGTTGTGATGTAACCTCGTGTGAGTTTAGTAGCTTCAATTACTGCGTAGGTCCGCATTAGTTGGTATCAGAGCTGAAATTTGTGTCTCACGCACTCGCCATAATTGCTCCAGCGCGCCGACTTGCTTTGTGTCGTCTTTGAGCAATTTTCTATATTTTGGTCATAATTTTCTCTTCCGATATTTGATTGAGATGATTAAAAATGTATAAAAAGCTAGCTTAGAAGGTTAATTCTTTTAGATATACAATTTTTTTCCAATTTGAACGTTTGCCATCTGAAAAATGGTTCTCAAGTTGAAGCTAAAAATTTGGAGCATAACTTCTTCGGTTGGAAATTTATTTGTGAAAATACTTCAACTATGTTTCAGTCCTTTGACTTCAATTGCATCCAATTGATCATATGTGATCTTCAATCGTCATTTTATGGTCCGAATCAAACTTGAATGTTCACACTTTGGTCCCTAAACTTTGGGTTTCTTTTATTTTTGTCGTTTTTCGTTCCTTTCTTTCAATTCCACCAATCTGTATTGAGTTCAACCTATCAAACATAATTAATAGATAATTAAGCTATAACTCATTCAATCACTAACAAATACTCTAACCTAAAAAAGTGTACAAAATGCACTTATCAATCGCATCTCCTATCCTGGAAAGGCGATAAAGCGCTCAAGGAAATAAATATACCCAACAATCAATGTTAGTGGTTGATAGTTTTACTAAGCGATTTAATAAACATTTACTAAGCCAACATATGCTTTATTGTATTTTTGTCGTTTTAGTGTTTTTTGTTTTTAAAATTATTCTTTATGTTGTTATAGAAGTAGAACCAAATTGGAACGACAAAATTCCTTTTTTTTTTTTTTTTTTTTTTTTTTTTTTTTTTTAGACTTTAAAATTTTTTTTTTTTTTGTTATAGAAATAAAACCAAATTGGAACGACAAATTTTTTTTTTTTTTTTTTTTTTTCATTCATTTGTTAGACAATTGGGTGGTCAAGGAGACAAACCTTACTAAATGATAAACGAAGTAGCGAAAATTAAGGAGTCTAGTACTACACTGATAACTAAAGAAAACATCCAGCACTAGATCTCATATGCATCGCTTCATTTTACATCAAATTCCATATTTTCTAGGCTCCTCATAAGGGTAGTCATTGCCTTCATTTATACATGCAACAAGTTTTTTTAAGTTTAAATGCCTTATAAGCAATTTTGAACACTTCTATTGAACACATATGAACTACGCAAAATAATTCAAATTTAGGTTCTTAGTAACAATACAAACCTTTCTTCTACCAATGAAAATTCAAGCTATATCTAGCCATACATAAGACAAACTGTTCACCATTTGCAGTTTAAGATTTGCACATTTCAATCTAATTTTATCTTCTTAATAAAATCTCCACGTTCTACTAGAGAATAAGGGGCATTAGTGGAGTTTGAAGTCTCTTAAAGTTAATAAATTCTTTTGGATTATTAGAAGAATGCAATTTTCATTTGTGGAAAAACTTCCATAATTTCCATAATGAAAGATACCACATCCAATGGAATCGTTTCTCCGGTTTGATAGTCAAGCCAAGCTTGTTTTGTTAATGGAAAAAGTGGAGTGCATAATGGTGTGATGAGCACCACTCCTATATATTGTTGAAACCGTGTTGTGGAATTAATGAATTTTAAATTGAGTAAACGATTAAAAAACTTAAACAAGACAACTTAATCACCGTTTGTTGAACGCCAACCATAAATATCAAAAATATTTAATATATTAATTTTTCTTGACTAAGATGGTCATATCAACTACCAAATACCGTATGGAAAATGCTGACAAAAGCTATTGGAAATTTAGCGAAAAGACCAATGATGATTAGTACTTGTGCTTTATCTATGTCTATATATTGTAAGTTGAACCAAGTAAAATTAGCAGGAAACTTTTATTTAATATATACGCACACTTGTATCGAACGCATCATTAAAAGCCCATTTCAAATTAGCCATGGGAAAGAATGTCATCTTTACATTGCTGGCAATTCTTTACTTACTTATCAACGTTGTTGCATCTCTAAATAACTCCACTGATCATTATGCTCTTCTATCCATCAAATCTCAAATAACTTTCGATCCAAATAAAATTTTGGGAAAAAATTGGTCACAAGGAATCTCATTCTGTAGTTGGATTGGCATTACTTGTGGCAAGAGATATCAAGGAGTTAGGGGCTTGAATCTAGCAAATATGGGTAGAGGAGGTACTATTGCTAAAGAAATCGGTGAGCTCTCTTTTTGGGATCCTTGATTATTAGCAATAATAGTTTCCATGGATTTATCCCAGACGAAATTGGTAATTTAAGCCAGCTTCAAGAACTAGAGATGCAGGGCAATGAGCTAAATGGCCCTGTTCCAGCAAGTCTTGGATTTCTTGGAAACCTACAAAAGTTAAATCTCAGCGAGAACAGACTTTATGGGGAAGTTCCTAATAGCATTTTCAACCTCTCTTCTTTGACAGAAATTAGTTTAAGAGGAAGTAGTCTCTCTGGAAGTCTACCTATGGATATTTGCTACAATCTTCCAAAGCTAGAGAGCCTAAGGATTTCAAATAATCAAATGAGTGGCAACATTCCTCCAAGCTTGGGCAGATGCATGAATCTTAAACTACTTTCCCTATCATCCAATAATTTTTCTGGAACCATTCCAATGGAAATCGGGAACCTGTCAAAGCTTCAAATTCTCTATCTCCATCGAAATAATTTGATAGGTACGTTTAAAGCACTGTTCATATACATACATCTTCCAATGCACTAGATAATGTATTCCTAAATTTTTGAAAATTGACCAATATTGTTGTCCATTCACATCACAAAATATCTCTTACATGTATAGTGATCTTCGTGTTGATGCCAATGGAGTACGTCTTTTTACATAGCTACACTAAAAGTAGGCATATCCGAAACCTCAATTATGTATTTTGAAACTGGGAACCAATTTTGGCCCATAAAATTTTCTTGCAAAAGCATGTAGAAAAGTCCACCAACAAACTTATATAAAGAATTAAAGATGCATTCCTTTTTTCTAAAAAATAAAAAAAAAGGGACGCAAAATTCAATTTGACTTTACGGTACAATGAATAAAATCACCTTTGACAAATGTGTTTCACCATGTATAGCTTTTTCCAAATATTTATTAGATGTAATAACATCAAATTCTACGCACCCAATCGGCTTGGGATGAAGATGGATACTGAAAAAAATTATTTGACCTAGAACGCTTAGATACGCTAGAAAGTTCGACTAACGTGATACAGTATCAAGTTCAAATTGTATGCATTACCAAGTTTACGTTCTAGATTTCACTTTAACCAATTTGACTTTACGTGCGGAATTAATCTAACTAAAGCAACAAGTCACTTTAATTAGTTGTCTAGGTGATTAATCATACAAGTCAATTAACCTATGTTGGAATGCTGCAGTTTGTATATTATGCAAAGTAGTAAATAACAAATAATATGATGACGGAGAAACCCCAACATTGGTAAAACTCCGGGACCAAGCCAGTTACCTCCACTATACCAATTCAGTAAGTACAAGTTATACCAAACTCCGTACCCAATCAGACCCACTGTTCCAGTTTCACGATCTACTGCTGTAGATACTTCTAGCCTCTCGCTAGACTTCCTGATCTACCTCCTGCAGCCCAATCTGCTGTCCACTACAACCTCCTGGTCCTTAGCTAATTGTATCACCGAGTGGAACAACCATCCGTTCTTGTGCTTGTAACTGCGCCTCAATCCACCTCTCTCAATCCTCCAATGAGGGAGTCCCTTCCTCAATAAATTAAGGAAGCAAGGTGTTTTGGGTTATGTAGATTCGATGATTCCCCCCAAAACAATGGTTGCCAAATCAAAAGAATTATGTTGATGAATTCTCCAATTGATTTTGCCTTAGATCTCTTGAACAAAGATATGAAGATGTTATGTACTCAAAGAATAATGTGGCAACCTCTAAAATTTCGTCCTAGGGCTTGAGTATTTATAGTATGGGCCGAGTAAAACACTTCAACAATGCGAAATAGGGTTTTTTCCGCATAGGAGTGCCGCTCAAGCAAGAGCCAACGAGAATCGAGCGAGATGTATTCTGTTTTTGTCGCTCGAACGAAATGCCAGCAAGAAGCGAGCGACAGTGAGCAGTTATCAGTATTTTCATTATAACTTTCTCGTTCGATGTCCGATTGAGGTGATTCAAGTTTCTTTGGAAAGCTAACGCAAAGGGATATAATTATTCTAGAATTATCCTTGTCCAAATTCCAACGTTTTCTATGTGAAAAATACATTTCAAGTTATGACTGAAAATCTGGAACATAATTTGTGTGGCTCTTTGATACCCGTTAGACTTCCAATTGCATTCCGATGATCTTGTGTGATCTTCTTCGACATCTTGGACTCCTTCAACGACTGAACATTAATTTACCTCATCTATTCAAATTGCAACCTAAGTCCTTGACTTTTACACCAATGGTCATTAAGTCTCTAACTTTTATAATTATACAATTTAGTCCGTTTTGTCCACAGAATCGCCAATTACACTTTTAGACCTAACAGATACCACTCACAGCAAGCCTCATTATAAAGTTCAGTCAGTATTTTGTAATTGCTTCGGTATTAATTGGATTTTTTTTAAATTTTAGTTTGTTAGTTTGAGGATGTAGGATGCAGTTTCAGTTACGATTAATGATTAGGTGTTTCTTGGAGTATTTTAGATGTAATAACATCAAAGATGAACCTTGTGTTTTAGAGTATTTTGATTAAAACATTATAAAGTCGATAGAGATTTTCTTTTAAAATTTCTAACTTGAAATGCTTTCTGCGGAGTTAGCGATTGTTCAACTGAGATCAATTATTCGTTATTTAATTGTGAATCGACGAAGTATTGATTTTTAAAATTCTAGGTGCTTTTAAGAGTTAACATGGTTTTATATTAAAATTTGTAGCTCAATCAACAAATCTAAGTTTGAATGAATCTATGAATCAAATAATACAGTGGTTGAATCTAGAGATCAAAGAGTGATGATTGGATATTCAAGGAACCATCTCTATGGAACAATATGATTCAACACACTTTGGGATGTCCATAGGGAAGGATATATGCAAGAGAAAGTGTTTGGGATGAAAAGGAATTGAAAAATCAGTGTTTGAAGCAAAATCGAATTTTGGACATCGACCTGTCGCTTGAGCTTTGGGCTAGCAATAGATGAGCGGCAATTGAGTAGTTTTCAGTATTTTTATCATAACTTTCTTTTCCGATATCAGATTGAGGTCATTCAAAATACATTAGAAAGTTGACTCAAAGGACTACAATTCTTTTAGCAATGGTATTCTCCAAATTTGAATGTGTCTATGTGAAAAATGCGTTCAAAGTAGCGACTACGAATTTGGAGTATAATTTATGCGGCTCTTTGACACCTTTTAGACTTCTAATTGCATTCTCTTGATCATATTTGATTTTCTTGGACATCTTGGACTCCTTCAGGACCTAAACTATCAATCCTTAACTATTTTGACTTTGATTATAACTGGATAAACTTCTAATACAATTCAACAAGAACTTAATTTTGACTTAGAAAATTGCCAATTACAATTCGGACTTAACAATCTTCGCCTTTGGCATTCGATGATAAAATCATTTATTTCAAAGTCAAAAGTCCACTACACTCTACGTAATAAACACTTTTCAAACTACACTTCTGACCTGTTTCCTGAAACACACAAAAACCATAATACCAAGTGAAAAGTAAGAGGAAACTACCAAAACAAAAATTATATAACTAAGTTAAATAAAACAACATAATAAATATGTGTGACACCGAAAGGTACAATATCATGCGAATTATAAACTTAGAAATAAATCATAGAATTTTATGTCAATATAGACAAAAGACATCACTATATCAATAATAAAATTTCAACAAATATATCAAATGGCTTTCTCTAAGTCATCTATCAATCAACAGATTCAAATTTCTTAAAATTCTCCCCCTAACTCATAAAATCAACTCCTTGAAATATATATATATATATATATATATATCCCACGACTAATAGAGGAAAGATACAATAATGATGTAAAACACAGAGAGGAATGAGTAAAAAATATGCACATGTATAGTGATGCAAAGATTATGCAAAAACATGTGATAGGAAAATAAAAAAATTTCTATTTTGAGACCAACTGTTTTTTTTTTAATTGATTTTCATCTTGAACAGTTATTTGCTTACTTATACATGCATAGCTCATAAAAAAGAAAACTTTTCCCATATAACTTATTTTAAACCTAAATGGAGTAAATTGTATAAGCTACTCGTGTGATAAGTGGCATAAACTACGGCAAGCAAGTCTCAAAACCTTAAATCAATGAGAAGGATATGCAAAAATCACTTGTGAATGAATATATCCTTCAACTCATGAAATCAAACCCAGTGTCACTAGGGCGTTTTTTAAAAAATAAAAAATAAAAAATAAATCTTATATTGATTTTTCAATGTATAACTTTTCTTTCTCATCCTATAAGTGTGGTTTGATGGCAAGCCTCAACTTCGTGCTTAGACACTCATTTTAAAACACTAATTAAATCTATTCAATTTGTTTATTTAGGGCCTGTTTGTGCTCTTTTAATTTCAAAAAGTGTTTTATAGAATAGTGATTGATGTTGGTGTGGTTAAAAAAGAGGAAAAAGTTTTTTTTATTTTTTTATGTGTAATATCATTTTAATGAAGAATGTGTGGTTGAAAATGAGTACTGTAGAAAAATAATATGGTAGAATGTGGTAGAATGGTTGACAAACAAAGACTTAGTGTCTTGACAAAGATTTATGCCACAACTTTACCTATAAAATTGTCATTTATAACAAAGATTTTTATGCCGGTGAAAAATCTAAATGAGCTTTAGGTATCCACCTATGCATTTTACACTCTTTTGGCAAATATTTTTCAAAATGTGTGGTATTTTCCAAATAACTATAAGAAACACAAAATAATCACATCAAATGCTAAGTACCCAATATGACTATACTTTCTAAAATTTTCAATATTAATTGAATTTAGTTTTTTATTTTTAATTTCTTAGTTTTAGGACCTAGGATGCAATATCAGTTATGAAAACTTTAAATTTAAAATGCTCATCTTTAACAAAGATTTTTATGTTGATAGGAATCTAGCTGAACTTTAGGCTATCTCTTAGTCGTTTTAAAATCTTTTTACATATACTTTTCAGCTTGTATGACATTTTTCAAATAAATATTAGAACTATATCATGGAACAGCAACTTCATAGTAACTTAATCATCAATTTCAAATTAGTTGTTACTCCCCCTCTAGCATAAGATCTATTTTGTGTTAATTTAACATTTTATGAACTCCAGGTTTCCACCTATGCATATTACGCTCTTTTGACAAATCTTTTTCAAAATATATGGTATTTTCCAAATAATTGTCAAAAATACATCATACAACAATAACTTCGTAGGTTCTTCGCATCAAAATCAAATTAGTTTCTACTTCTTCTATTTCATTACATCTATTTTGTGTTTATTTAACATTTGATATTTTAAAATCTATAGGTTTAAATGGATTGACAAGAAATACTCCAAATGAAAATGGAAACCTATTAGCACTTGTATAACTAGATTTTGTGGACAATGGTTTTAATAATACGTAACTAGATCTCCCAAGCTTGTTTAATATATTAAATTCAGAAGCCTAAAAAGCATAAAGTATGAAGAGTCATGAATGCCAAACTTCGAGCTTTTACAAGCCTAAATGTGCTAGGCATAATAAATATAAAGTGTTGCTTGGTGTCAAAGCCCGGATTCATGCACGGACGATCTTTTCAAAACACCCATTAAATATATTTCAATTTTTTTGTTCAGTCATGACAAATATTTATAATAAAAATCTAAATTTAGAGATCTCATACATAACAGAGATTTTAATGTTGATGGAAAATCTTAATGAAATTTAGGTTCACGCATAGGCATTTTACAATTTTTGACAAATGTTTTTCGGCATGTATGCACTTTCCAAATAATTATTAGATATACATCACGTGACAAGAATTTCATTGGGACATCATTATTAAATTCAAACTAGTTAGTGCTTCTTGTTTATCATTAGATTTATTTTGTGTTAATTTAACATTTGATATTTTATATGTTTAAATGGATTGACAAAATATGTTCCGAATGAAATTTGAAGCCTTGTGTATCGAGATTTGGGGCCAAATGGTTTTAGCGGCACGTAACAAGATCTTCGAGGTCAAGGTTAATTAGCCTTCGGAGTTTTACAAGCCTAAACAGTCTAGACATACAAAAGTGACTGTGTGGCTAGGTGATAGGGCCAACTTTATGCCTAAACTCATTTTTTAGGACACCGATTAAATCCATACGATTTGTTTATTTAGTTTCATGACAAAGACTTATATCAAGATTTTAAATTTAAATTTTTCGAATACAACAAAAATTTTAATGCTGGTGGAATATCAAAATGAACTTCAAGTTACCACCTAGGTATTTTACACTCTTTTGACAAAAAAATTTCAAAATGTATGTCATCTTCCAAATATTTATTAGAAATACGTCACGGAACAGTAACTTCGTGTGTACTTAATTATTGAATTCAAATTAGTACATACTACTTCTCTTTCATTAGGTCTATTTTGTGTTAATTTAACATTTGATCTTTTAAAATCTATATGTCCAAATGGATTGACAGGAAATATTCAAAATGAAATTGGAAACCTATCAGCAATTGAATATCTAGATTTGGTGTCCAACAGTTTGAGTGGTATGTAACTACATCTATTAAACTTATGTTATATATTAAATCAAGTGTTTTAAAAATCGTGCCAGCAAATAAAAGCGTAAAGTGTGGTTTGGTGGCAGCGCTCAACTTTGTGCTTAGACACTTTTTTTAAAACACTAATTAAATCTATTCAATTTGTTTATTTAGTGTCTTGACAAAGATTTACACCACAACTTTAACTATAAAATTGTCGTGTATGACAAAGATTTTTATGCCAATGGAAAATCTAAATGAGCTTACCTATGCATTTTATATGCATTTGGTAAAATTATTTTTTGAAATGTGGTATTTTCCAAATAATTATTAGAAACACATCATAATCATATCAAATCCTAAGTACCCAACATGCTTATACTTGCTAAACTTTTCAATATTAATTGAATTTATTTATTTATTTATTTTTAAATTTCTTAGTTTAAGGACCTAGAATGCATTATCAGTTATGAAAATTTTAAGTTAAAAACGGTCACCTTTAACCAAGATTTTTATGCTTATGGAATCCAGATGAACTTTAGGCTATCTCTTAGTCGTTTTACAATCTTTTGACAAATAATTTTAAGCATGTTTGACATTTTTCAAATAATTATTAGAAATATATTATGTTACAATAACTTCATAGTTACTTAATCATCAACTTCAAATTAGTTGGTATTGATGCTCCCCCTCTTTCATAAGATCTATTTTCTGTTAATTTAACATTTGATGAACTTTAGGTTTCCACCTATGCATTTTACACTCTTTTGACAAATTGTTTTCAAAATATATGACATTTTTCATGTAATTATTAAAAATACAGCATAATTACTTGGAATCCAAATTACCCAATATGCTTGTGATGAAGATGGATAATAATAACGGCTAGTCTCACTATAATGTTTTACTTAGTACTTGCTAACCTTTTCAATATTAATTGAATTTATTTATTTATTTATTTAAACTTCTTTTAGATTGCAGACCTAGGATGCAATTTCAGTTGTGAAGACTCTGAAGTTAAAATTGTCACCTAAAACAAAGATTTTTTTACGTGGATTGAAAAATCTATATGAATTTCGGGTTACCACTTAGTCTTTTGCGATCTGTTAGAGAATAACATTATAGTCACTTAATCATTGACTTCAAATTAGTTGGTATTTTCTCCCTTTCGTAAGATTTATTTTGTGTTAATTTAAACATCTAATGAACTTTAGGTTCCCACACATTCATTTTATGCTCTTTTGACATTTGTTTTTCAAAACGTCGAGTATTTTTCAAATAAATATTAGAAATACAGCATAATTACATCAAATCCAAAGTAACTATTATACTTGAGATGAAGATGTATACTGCTAATCATTATACTATTTAGTTCGCACTCACTAATATTTTAAATATTATTTGAAATCACTTTTTTATTTTTAATTTCTTAGATTGAGGACCTAGGTTACAGTCTCACTTACATAAACTCTAAATTTAAAATAGTCACCATTTTAAATGGATTTTTGTATTGATGGAAAATCTAAATAAGCTTTAAGCTTACACCTACACATTTTCAACTCTTTTGACATGTTTTTCCAGCATTTATGGCATTTTCCAAATAATTAGGAAAAATATATCATACAACAATAACTAATAGTTACGTAATAATTAACTTCAAATTAGTTGGTACATCGAGTCTTTCATAAAATCTTTTTTGTGTTAATATAACATTTGATGAACTTTAGGTTTTCACCAATGCATTTTACACTCTTTTGACAAATGTTTTTGAAATGTATGGTAATTTCCAAGTAGTTGACATAAATACAACGTAACTACATCAAATCCAAAATACCCAATATGCTAGGGATAAAGATGGATACTGCTAGCGGCTAGCCTCATTATAATGTTTAGTTTCTACTTGCTAATCTTTTCAATATTAATTCAATTTATAGAGACTATGTGATGCCCCGAACTTAGGTTTCGGGGGTCACGTACTAAATATAGTAACTTCTGCCTTTGATACATGTAAATACTCTTAAATAGAAGTATTACATGTTAGAAAACTATTTTCGATTTCGTAAAATATCTCTCATGAAATTTAATGGCCAGCAAAAGTGCAAGTCGACGTGGAATTAAACTTTACAAAAAAAGGACTCGGTACTGCCACAGTTAGTTAGGGCAGCAAGTTCAACTATTTTTATAAAATTCATCCCAACTCCGTTTTCTATGAAATTTTTGGCATTAGAAAGATAATTTCAAGTAGTTTCCTAGGTTAAAATATGAGAATTTTCTGAGATCATATAGTATGGACGTTTTACTGAAAACAATGTAGTGTTGCACAGAAAATCCAGATTGACTCTTCAACGTTTAAAAATTCATATCTCAGGCCACGGACATCCAAATTGAGTGATTCTTGCGCCCATATTTAGAAAACTAAAAGACGAACGCAGTAATATTTTTAGATTCTCAAATGGATGTCTATAGAGTTAGAAATAATGTTTTGAAGATGACCCAGAAACTGCCCGGATTCTGCCCTTTTTTATCATTCAAGAAAAAGGTTTATAATAATGTCTCTTAACATAACATGGAAGATATAATTACATAATTTACTTCCGGTACCATAGTAGATCATGTCTTATACAAGTTTTTATACAACACCATAAGAAAAACATTTGGAGAGCACTCGAACAAACATGCAAAAATAATACTTCGATGCAAAATAACCTTCGTCCTTAATCCATCATCGATTATGCCAACTAACTTCCACCAACTTCACATCTATGGATCTGAAAATTTAGTATAGAACACTATGAGTATAAAGAATACTCAGTAAGATACCATGCTTGGATTTAACATGTTAATATTACACAAAAGAATGCAATCAAACACATTCTTGCACATTCCGGCTTGCCGGTGCCCTTCGGACTTGTCCTAAGGCATAGATATCTAACTTTGTGGACTTGTCCACACATTCATTATGGTTTTTCACACATAGTTTAGGCAAAAATATTATCATGAAATCCTACCACTTAAGCAAAGAATGTATCTTACAATAAAACTTGGAGAAACTTCGGTTGAAAAACAAGAACTTGAGAGTGTAGGCTTTGTTTTCCTTTTTCTTCCTTTCCTTTTCTTTTTTTTTTTCCTTCCTTTATTCCTGACGATTTTCTCTCTATCTCTCCATAAAAATTCTGACTTTGCAAAGATATATAGGCTGCTCATCTCTTGGTTATACATATATAGAAGCAAAGTGAAGATAATTAACCAAAATTGGTGCCTACATCTACACGTGGTTGCATGCATGTATCTCATAAACTTAACTCAACACCTAAGGTCAGGTTGTGCCATAATTTAACACCTCCTACCTGCTTAAACCACCTCATGCATGCATGTTACTACAAAGATAGCTTGACACCTCCTACTTGTTCAACAATTAACACCCCATGCATGCATTAGTTAAATCTTACTTGAACTCTTCTCTAATCTGCCGTCCAGCTGCATTTATATATGTATATTGCATATGTGTGTGTATAAAAAAAATGAGAGAAATGGTTTAATTTGTATTCCCACTTGTCCATGTATTAGTTAATTGCATTAATCCTCTACAAGGTGGCGGCAAAGTGATAGAAACAAAGGGAAAATATATTAATGTAAAAGGTATAGAATTTGACAATTATTCTAAACCCCTAATTAACTAATCTTGGTAAACATTTAATAAATCGACCAATGCAAATTTGGCAACCATTAATAATCTTGGCCATACTAAATTTTTGAAAAGTTAAATTGCTAGCTTAAAAATTAAATGAGCAAATTAAACGTGCATAAAATTTCGGAGTATTACAAAATATGACCGGGATAAAGATGCATGGATACTGCTCGTGGCTAGCCTCATTATATTTTTTAGTTAGTACTTGTTAATCTTTTCAATGTCAATCGAAATTTTTTCTTATATTATTTAGTTTGAGGAACTATGATGCACTTTAAGCAACAAAAACTATAAATTTAAAATGGTCACCTATAATAAAGATTTTTATGTTGAAGGAAAATCTTAATGAACTTTAGGCTACCACCTAGGCATTTTACTCTCTTTTGACAAATGTTTTTCAGCATGCATGGCATATTTGAAAAATTATTATAAAAATATCATGCAACAGTCACTTTATTGTTACTTAATCATCATCTTCAAATTAGTCCGCAGTTCCTCTTTTTCATGAGAGCTATTCTATGTTAATCGAACATTTTATATTTCAATTTCTATATGTTTAAATAGATTGACACAATGTTTTCCAAATGAAACTGGAAACTTATTAGTTCTTGTACATGTATATTTGAAACGCAATGGTTTCATGGGTTCATATCTAGTTCTCCTACATTTATTTTATATATTTTATTCAATATTTTAAAAAGTGTAAAGCATGGCTAAGTGTCAAGACCAAGCTTTATGTTACCATCTCGGCATTTCACACTCTTTTGGCAAATGTTATTTTACAATGTATGGCATTCACCTATTAATTACTAATAATACAAACATCAAATCCTATGTACACAATCAACGTGGGATGAAGATGAATACCGCTACTGGCTAGCCTCATTATAATTTTAGTTAGTATTTTATAATCTTTTCATCCTTAATTGGATTAAATTTTTTAATATAAATTTGGTAGTTTGAGGACCTAGGATGTAATTTTAGTTATGATTAATGATTTGGTGTTTCTTTGTTAGCTGCAAAGATGAGCTTTGTACTTTGGAGTATTTTGATTAAAACATTGTAAAAGTTGTGAGAGTTTTTCTGTTACATTTTTTTACATGAAATGCTTTTCTATGGAATTAATGATTTGTCGACCTAGATAAATTATTCGTCATTCAATTGTGGATCAACTAATTATTGATTTTTTAAATTCACAGAGGTTTATTCTTCATTATTGTATATTGTTCCTATTGCGTGCACCACCCTATTTACTAAATAATTAAATATTCTAAATTAATTTATACATTTGTCATTCTAGTATCATTCTTAATTTAATAATTTATTTTGAATTTGTATTTTGATTATATTTAATATTTAAAATTTCAGTATTATTAGCTGATATAAAATTTTTAATATTTTACTTTTGATTTCAATTTTTAATATCCTAAAATGTATTCACAGGAAGCATTCCATATGAAATCGAAAACTCCTTTGCACTTGAATATTTGTCCTTGGGTTATAATATCTTAACAGGTACCCATCTACAACTCATTAGTACTTTTGGTATTCATCAATTTGTGTTGACAAACACCATAATGCAGGCACAATTCCAAATTCAATTGACAGTTCAGTTGCTCATTTTTAGCAACAGAATTTTGGGTCAAATACCTTAATCTATCTTCAATCTCTCCATGTTACAAGCACTTTCTTTTAGTAGCAATAGTATCTCCGGCAATCTTCCATCGTCAATTGCCAATGGTCTCCCTAATCTTGATTGTCTTTTACTTGGTGGTAATCAGTTGAGTGGAAAAATCCCTGCCTCTATTTCCAATTTTTCAAAGCTTGTTAAGCTGGATCTAGGTCTTAACACCTTTTGTGGGCGAGTACCCGAGAACCTTGGGAATTTACAGAACCTTCAATTTCTAAGTTTCCAATCTAATCAGTTGACAAATGATCCTTCAATGCTCAAATTGGATTTTCTTATTTCATTGCAAAATTGTAGGAAGTTGAAGATCATATGGATGGGAAGCAATTATTTTGATGGAATATTACCAAAATCCTTGGGTAATTTGTCAACATTCGTTGAAAATTTTGATGCTGATCATTATGGTATTAAAGATATCATTCAGAACGAAATTGGTACTTTGAGCATCTTGATCAAGTTAGACATTGGAGGCAATGAATTGACCAGAAGAATTCCTAACACATTGGATCAATTAAGAAAATTGCAAAGGTTGATACTCTGTGTAAATAAATTACGGGGGTCATTATCTGCCAACCTTTGCTATTTGGTATATCTGTATTATCTGAATTTGGAAGATAATCAGCTTTCTCAACAGTTGCCAAAGTGTTTAGGAAATCTTATGTCTTTACGAGCAATTTATTTAGCTTACAACTCAATGACTTCTACTATGCCATCCACACTATGGAATAACAAGGAAATTCAGATTTTGAGTTTCTCTCATAATTTGTTGAATGGGTAGCTGACAACAGAAATTGGCAACATTGAAAGCATAAGAGGGTTATACATATCGGGAAATCGATTCTCAGGTGATATTCCAAACACTATATGGCAATTTCAAAATTTGGAAAATCTAACATTATCAAACAATCGATTACATGGTTCTATACCTGAATCGTTTGGTAATCTGATTTCATTGAAAATATTGGGTTTATCGAAGAACGAACTCGATGGTGTAATCTCCAAGTCAATGGAGAAACTTGAGTATCTTGTGTATTTCAATGTTTCATTCAATGAACTCACAGGTAAAATTCCAAATGGAGGGCCTTTCAAGAACTTTACCTCAAGTTTTTTCACTGGAAACGGAGAATTGTGTGGAGCATCTCAATTTAAGGTCCAGTCATGCAAAGGTGATACAACTCGATTATCAAGCAATACAAAATTCTTGAAGTACATTTTACCATCAATTGCTGTTGTATTGAGTCTAGCCATTACTATGGTTTATTTAATAAGACGCCACAATAGAAATACACTTTTTCTAGCCCAGTCTACTCCCCCTGTCACTGTCAAGAGAATTTCATATTATGAAGTGCTAAATGCTACAAATAAATTTGGTGAAGAGAGTCTAATTGGCAAAGGCAGTATTGGTTCGGTGTACAAGGGAATGTTTTCAGATGGAATGATTGCTGCTATTAAGGTTTTTAATCTAGATTTGGAAGGTATAAACCAAACTTTTTATATTGAGTGCCAAATGATGTGCAACATTCGTTTGAGAAATCTTGTCAAGGAAATTAGTAGTTGCTCTAACCTTGATCTTAAAGCCTTGGTGCTGGAATATATGCATAATGGAAACCTTACCAAATGGCTATCTTCAATCAACTATTTCCTAAATTTAGCTCAAAGATTGGAAATAATGATAGATGTGGCATTTGCACTAGAGTATCTACATTATGGGCATTACTCTTCGATTGTCCATTGTGATTTGAAATCGAGCAACATACTTTTAGATAGATGGTTTCCCACATTATAGACTTTGGCATTGCTAAGCTTTTCACGAAAGACCAGAGAATTACGATTACCAAAACGTTGGGCACCATTGGATATATGGCTCCAGGTAAATGGTTCTGACATCTATTTATGTATCTTCGAATGCTAACAATGTAACCATGTATTACTTATTAGTTCTTATTTATTTATCCATCATTTATCATTTCACTAGCTAATTTGATCCCACGTTCCAATGTTGTAGAATATGGATCAGCTGGATTGGTATCAACTATGGCAGATGTTTATAGCTATGGGATTATGCTGATGGAAACATTTACCAAGAAGAAGCCAACGGATGATATGTTTGTCGGAAAGTTCACAATTGGGTGCTTGAATCATTTCCAGATGCAATAGCACAGATAGTGGATGTTGATTTAGTGAATGCTGTTGAAGATAATATTCGAGCTAAGGAGAGCTGCTTCACATTAATCATGGAACTAGCACTAGAATGCATGACAGATTTGCCCGAAGAGAGGCTCAATGCTAAAGATGTTCTAGCGAGGCTCAAGAAGATTAAAACTTAATTTTGTTAAAGCACAACAGAGGTGGAACAAGATAAAAAGGTTTGGTTCTTAATGAAAACAGAAAAAAAAATGATAAGTTAATCAAAATCTATTTTCTATTTCATATTAATCTCTAAAGCTTATTAGATGTTTCTATTGCAGGAAACTTGGCTATCATTCTAAAGATTTTAAAACTCTTTTGGCTTCCATTGTTGTGTTGCAGTGTGTTGTAGTTGTGTTTGTGGCCCCAAAATCCTTAAGTAGACAACATTTAAAATTTTTGGTGTAAGAAAATGTTTTGATACCATAAATAATCTTCATTAAGTGAGAATATTGTTATCCTTTTTCTTATTCTCTTCATTTGTCCTTGACACCAGTCTTTAATATGAAGCAAGGTAAATTATTAGTACAAAATGCACAAAAATGAAGCTTTTTTGAAACATGAAAGTAAAAAATAATAACATAAGCTATTAAAAGTTGAAAAATACATGAAATTTTTTATCATAGTAAGAATGGAAAGGAAACAAGATGATAGTCATTCATTTCTAGTAACCAAAGTGGTACATCGTTTTATAAAGACTATAGTCACTTAACAGTTTGCCGAGTCAATCATTTTTATAAGTAATAAAGTGGAAATTAGAGTCTGAATGTCATCCCGTGGATATTAAGTAGTTTAATTCTATCTAACTCGGCCTTAACCGAAACTAGATAATTCAAACAAGACTTTTGAATTAGCCACCATTTAACCTAATATGCAAATCCGTATGACTCGGTTGAACTAGAATGCAAAAGTGATGTTTGAATGCAAAATTGGTGTAATCAATGAATATGAATCACATTAGGATCACGAATCCCCAAGCATTGTTCACTTTTAACCCTAGTTTCACAAATTTTAACACGTTGATATTTTGAAAAATCAATGCTTCTAATCAACAATCTCTCTCGAGTAAAGTTGAACATATTCTCATATACCACCGGTCATATCTTTATGACGGGTGTAAATATACAAAAATGTATATGGTTTTGCGAGCACTTAAAGATTCATACGAGATAGTATATCTCTATCCCCTGTAGGACCCAACGATGATTTATACCATGTCGAATTCATTTCCCTTCTTTCGAATACTGGAAATAAGTAACCATATTCATATAATTACGTGCACAAAATTATTGAAGCAATTGATAGTATATAAATCATTTAAACTTCAAGAAACGTGTTTTTAGGTCAAACTTGCAAAGCTAGAAATTAAAAAGTTACATCACGAGGTTCATTGATTTTCTAGTACATGAAAACCTAGCCTAGGATGGAGAAAATAACAAAATACACAATAACTCTAAGAAATGACATCACCGGTGTAGGATTTGGCGTGTAATCTCATTGATTTTCGTGTTTCTCTTCCTGATTGTGGTGTAAAATCTTCTTCAATATGTATTTTCTTCTTTCCCGAGGTGTTATCTCTTTCAATTGATGGCTCTAGGGTTTTTATATGGGTGCCACAGCTTGTTTCCATAAGAGTTTGAAAGGAAGAAGGAAACTGAAAATCGCACAACCCGAATGTACCATGTGATCGCATGGTATTGTGTGTTGCCTGACTCTGAATTGCTTAATGCCACCATGTGACCTCATGGTGATCCATTTTCTTCTAATTTTGACAATTAGGACCCTGATTTCCGATTTCTCGCGTCATGACTTCTTTTCTCCATTGTTCTTCTCCCACTATTCTTCCATAAATTGATCCTTAAATTTTTCACTTCTTCGTTTGTACCTCCAGTTCATCTTTTGATTATTTACATATTGGTCCCTAAACTTTTATTCTTTTCCGTCTTGATCCTTTTTCTCAAATTTCCTTCTAATGCCTCATACTATCATTGAAGTGGTACTTAGCGCGTTCATATTCTAGATTCGTCCTTCGGGTCAACTTTAGATTATTTGCGGTCCCTGAACTTTTTTTCTTTCGTTTTGGCCCTTTTCGCATCTTTTCTTTTAAATTCCGTCACATCCATCAATATGATCCTACAAAAATAAAATTGCATAGAATTAAACTATATTCAACCAATTTCATCAGCAATTAGTCATGTTCTGTGAACCAAATAAGTGTGTAAAAACGCACTTATCAAACCCCCCAAACTTGAACTATTGTTTGTCCCCAAACAAGATAATGATTTAACTCTACACAAAACATGGCTTGATAAACTCGTGTCTCAAGATTGGAATTCAGTAATTAAAGCAGGAAATGGCCTCAATAGTGCAAGAATAAAATCAACCTTTACCTCTAAGATGCAAAACTCAACGTATGTGTATAAACTCATGTCAACATATCAAGCTAATGATCGGATTATTCCCAACCCACGGTGATCAAATATATCTTTTCCCTGCTCGAGAGATGCACACTCCCTAAACTTATTCTTTTCACTCACTTATCCCGAGGTGTGCTCTAGATTTAGGAGTTTAAACTAATGCAGTCCTTTCCCTCTCTTAGCTTGGATAGGTATCACGATTACAAGTTCACATGTTAACAAGTAGAGGTTCTCCTATGTTTTGATAGCTTCAACCCTTAAGACTAAACTAGGCTACTAGCCTCGCATCAAAAATATAGTTTTATCAACCAAATATCCAAGGGCTTTCTTCACATTATTGTATCTTTCATTCATTTATTTTTTGAATTTTTTTGGGGTCATCTTCTAATTTGCTTTCTATATAACCCTTGTAGCGAACTTTAGGTAGGTGACTCTCAAAACAGTTGGCTTTAGTGCACCAGGTTTTAAACCCTTGCAAACTTATTCACTTAAGTTATAAAGGTTCGATAAGATGACTTTTTATTAACTTCTCCCTTTCTTGCTTTCTATATAACCCATGTATCGAGCTTTAGGTCGGTGACTCCTAAACTAGTTGGTTTTAGGACATCAGGTTTTAAAATATCCTTGGAGGCTTACTTGCTTGAGTCATAAAAGCTTAAAGTGAAGTGTTATTTTCACCAAACCTGGCTTTATGTCCTTTTTATTTTCTAGACATTCAGTCTCCAAAACCACCCCCCAACTTAAGGCTCACGTAATTTTCATCTTAGTGTTCTAGGCAATCTACACAATAAAATTTCATGTATGGAGTCCTCACCTATCTCAAAGTTCCCCTGTAACTGTTTAACCATCTCCAAAATATTCTAAAAAAGGGTTTATAGGGTTATACAATAGAGGGCTTTTGGTTTTCTTACTTTATTCATGGTCCCACTAACTAACCTAACATGTAAGCATGAGTACGTGTGCAAAAAAATGTCAAATATAATATCAACAATTTCAAGTTAATCAAATTTTGCACCATATCCACAATTCCTAAAGCATAACTATTTCAATATTCACATCGTAGTTGGCAGACTATTATGCCCACACAAGCACACAAAGACATAAAAACTGAATAAAACATCCAAATTTTATGATTTTTTTATTGAAACACTCGACATGCATGCAATACCGTAATTAAACACATTTATTGATGAACATATACAACGTGACGAATAATAGGTGCCATGCCAAAATTATACCATCTCTACCCAAACTTGTACAATACATTATCCTCAATGTAGGAATAAGTGTAAGTTTAAATAATTTAAGGACAATATCAAAATGCAAGCACAAAAGTGGGCTATTCAATACTTCTCTAATCAGTATAGTGGTGGTGATGGAAAGTTGGGATCCGCAGTGTCGTCTCCTGGTGATGGGGTTGTCGAGTCAGGATCTGCCTCATCAACTCAGACTACTGGGCCTGCTCGGCCTACATATCTTGAACTCCAAGTTGCCTAAAAGGTCCCATGTCTAATTTACTCTCAACTGGCTACCGTCCACCCGGTCGACGTACATACCCAACCGCACATTCATGGTTTCTACTTCTCTTCTCGAGGCCAGGGACTCTCTGCTGGCATTTGATGTAAAGTTTCATGTGATGTGCATGTCTTCCTATACTTGCTGAATTCCGTACTTAGACCTCTAAAGGTGAATGTAAAGCTTAGTCAGGATGAATGGGAGCTTTTATCTGATCCATCTCTATGTCGACGACTTGTAGGGAGCTTGAACTATTTGATGATTACTCGACCTAATATCTCATTTGCTGTGCAATAGGTTAGTCAATATATACAGGGTCCTCGTCAGTCTCACTATACGACGAATTCTTCATTATCTAAAAGGTTCATCTGGTCGTGGGTTGTTTTTCTCTATTGGCAACTCCTTACAGTTAATGGGTTGTAGTGATCCTAATTGGGCTGGTTGTATGGATACTCGTCGGTCAGTTACTAGCTAGTTCATGTTTCTTGAAAATGCTCTTATTTCTTACAAGAGTGAGAAGCAGGATAGAGTTTCGAAGTCCTCCACTAAGTTTGAGTACCATACCATGTCATCAGTCTATTCAGAGATTGTTTGGCTTCGTTGTTTGTCAGGCAAACTTTGCATTCCCTGAATTATTGCTGCTCCTTTTTATGCTAATAATACCAGTGCTATTCAAATTGCTATAAATCCAATATTTCACGAACGCACCAAACATATTGAAATAGATTGTCATTATATTCGTGAAGGTCTTGATCAGTAGGTAATTACACTTCCTCACATTTTCACTGAACATGAGACTGTTAATATTTTTAACAAAGCCTTATCTCGCCACCACCATCAGATGATGATTGAAAAATAGATGTTTCTTGATCATCCAGCATCAATTTGAGGAGGGATGTTAGATAGGATTATTCTTGTTACTTCAATTAGCATTTTTTTTATATAGAATAATATATTCTTTCTATATTTAGAGGGAGACAAATTGATGTAATTTCTTGTATATTAGTCATGTATAGAGCCATGACTCTCTATATATTGAAATGTAAATCCTCCATTGAGAAGCAATTGAAATCAAATTGATAGGAAACACTGGTATTATTGTAATTGTAGCAACCAACCGTGCATATATTCTTGACTCTGCATTGTTTAGACATAGAAGATTTGATAGACAGGTAAAGATACATTTTATGTCTGTCTCTAATTTTAGTGTTCTCATACTTTTGCAATTTTTAATCATTTTACAGGTAATTGTTGATGTCCCAGATATTCATGGAAGAACAGAGATCTTAAAGGTCCATGCTGGAAACGAGAAGTTTGATTCTGATGTATCTCTTGAAGTGATAGCCATGAGGACACCTGGTTTTAGTAGAGCAGATCTTGCTAATCTCTTAAACGAGGCTGCTATGCTGTGGGTTGATGTGGAAAGTCTGCAATCTCATCTAAATAAATTGATGATTCAATTGATAGGATAGTAGTCGGAATGGAAGGGACCGTTATGACGGATGGCAAAAGCAAGTCTCGTAGTATACTATGAAGTAGGCCATGCCATGCCATATGCGGGTAAGTACTGTAAAGAAGTTCCATCTATAGATTTTTTTTATATATATACATTAGGAATTTGGCATTTTTATCGTCTAGCTATATATATATATATATATATATATAAGGGAAAATTGCAGCCACGGTATCAAACCTTTCGTTTATTAGCAAATTTTGCCAAAACCTTTCATTTGTGCCATCGGAGGTACCAAACCTTTAAAAAAAATCTGAGCCAGAGTCCAAATGGATGGAAACCATTCGTTTAACCGTTAGTTGACCAAAATAATTAACTTTGACCAAATATAAAAGGGCAAAATGGTAACTTTACAATTTTAATATAAGATAACTTTAAAAAATTCAATAAAGAAAAGAAAAAAAATGAATACCACTATTTACCTTCTCCTTCATAACCCCATCCCACCCCACCCACCGCAACATGAAAATCAACCACCAACATCATTACCCTTTCACAGACTTGTATGTATTTGCTAGAATCTAAATCCCCTTGTATTTTACTTTGGAATCCTTATCGATTCTGGACCAAAACCCTTCATCTTCAATTCCAGATATCAAAAAAATCAAATATGTTCGCTTAGCGTATAAATCGAAAAAGTTTTCCTCCCCATTTCATGACAGTTCACTTTTGGTTCAATGCTAATAATGACAACGGAAAGTTAAATCCATGCTGGTGCAGATAAGCTCGGCGTGTAATTTCAAAGTATTGTTGGTACGAATCTGATTTGATGTTGAGGTGAAATTTGAGTTTGGTGAAGAAGGACCGCTGTAGAAGCGACGGAGGAGAATGGGATGAAGAAGATTAGTAAGAGGGGAATGAGAGGCGGAGGTGGCATTTTTCGGTGGTGGTTATGGCCTGAGTATGGTGGCTTATAGCAAAAAAAAATTGAAAATGGAATGGAAAAGAATGTTCAAGAATTTGATTGGGGTTCGAAAGTTGAGAAGAATAAACCTGCGGTGCCGATGGCTGTGCGATATTGGTGTTGCAGCAGATTTTCCTAGTGGGTTAGGAAGGGGAAGGGTTAATGAAGGAGGAGGTAAACAATGGTAGCCATTTTTTTCCTTTTTTTTTTATTGAATTTTTTTAAAGTTACCTTATGTTATTATTGTAAAGTTACTATTTTACCCTTTTATATTTGGTCAAAATTAATTATTCTGGTCAACTAACGGTCAAACGGATGGTTTCCATAATTTTGGACTTCAGCTAAGATTTTTTTAAAGGTATGGCATCTTTTGTGGCACAAATAAAATGTTAGGGCAAAGTTTGCTAATAAATGAAAGATTTGATACCATGACTGCAATTTTCCCTTCATTTTAGGAGAATTTGCGTTAAATTGTGTGGTTACACATGGTGTCTTTAGAATGAACTGTTTTAATATATATATATTTTTCATTTTATCTAAAATAGATAATTCGCACTCCTGATATTATAAATATAACCATTGTTTAAGCCATATTCTTCAATCAAAATACATTCTTTTATAGTGATTTGACATTATTTTAATCGCACATTTTTTAATAAAATAATGTTATATGCAAACTCAATTTTATTTTTTATTTTTTAACCACACATTTTTCAATATAATGCTATTTCAAAATGTATTTTTTGAAAAAAAAAAAAAAGGGACTCAAACAATCCCATAATTAAATAAACTGTTTTAAATAATTTTCTTATGGTCCACTTGATTGCAAGAATGAAATTTAGATGGAAAGAAAACGAATTACAAAGAATTAAATTGCCTATAACTTGTTTTGTCTGAAAATTGTCAATTAAATGTATTTGTTTGGTATATTTTTTTATTTGAAAAATGTGAAAATTTTGGATATTTTGATATTCTTTTGATTTTATTTTTCATAAAAATTATCAATTAAAGGGATAGGAAAAACTAGGGATGGGCAAATCTCTCGAACCGAACCCGAATCGAAACGAACCCGAACCCGACGGTTCTTGTCAAATTAAATACTCGAACGGGTATCTGAATTGAGAACCGATGGGTACGGTTCGGTTCTCGATTCTAGACCAAGAACAGAATAACCGAATAAGAACCGAATCTTTCTTATTTTTTTTATATTGAATAAATCAAATTATTTTAATTTTAATTTTTGCTAAACAAATTAACAAATTAACAATTTCTAAATTCAAATTTTTGGCACAATAATTTGTTTCATTTCTAATTTTTTAATTTTTGGCCCAATTACCCATTTTATTGTCTTATTTCTTAGCCCAACAAGATCCAACCTACTAAATAACCCTAAACACCTACACTAAAGTGCATAACACTATCTCGACTCTCGCAGTCTTGCTGACATTCCAAAACCTATACAATCGTCGACCGACGCTATGACTTCCGATCGAAGCTGTAACCTTCGCCAACCGAAATTTTGACCGTAGCGATCATTTGAACAAGGTAGTCTACTAGTCTCTGACATTTCAAAATCATTGAACGTGTCATTAGTTGTATTTATATAATGTTGTTATAAATGTTAAAAAATTTAACTATAGTAAAGAACCGAACTGAACCAAACGGAACCGAACCCGAACGGTTCCATAATTATATTTGGACCCGACGGTTCCATTTACTAAATACTCGAAAATTTTTGTTCGATTCGACTAAAAAAAACCCTTAAAAAGTGAATTTCTACCAAAACCATGAGAATTGAAATTTCATCAAATCAAACAAAATGGGTCGCGGGGTGGGGGTGGTTGCGGTTGGAAAATGAATTGGAGGAAAAAATTTAGCAATCAAACCATCAAAAATGGAAAAAAATTTCCATGAAAATTCTCCGCAGGCCCTCAGATTAATAAAGGATAATTTTATTCTTCACAAGAGTATTATTTTTGACATCCATGAATGATGAAGGATAATTTTATTCTTCTCAACGACTAAGTCCTACCTACCCGATTCATATCCACGTATCAAGAAGACGAAGCCAAGGAAAATTGAGTTGAAACCCACCAACAAATTCTTAATTTTCTGGGCAATTCTCGTTTCAGTAAGAGAGGTTTGTCGTTATTTTATTAATTTATTATAACTTTCTTAAATTGATCAAATGTGATGGATTGCATATTTTGTTCAATCAGTTTTTTTGTAGTTCCATGTAGATGTTGGTAGTATTTAACATGATGTAGATCAAGGCCAAAGTTTGACTTGGAGAGCTTAGTAAATTTGCAGATGTGGGGGTAACTGCATTCCAAATTTTTTATATGGCTTGTGAAACCCGTGGAAAATTTTGAAAATATTGAGGGTAGAAACTGCGTGCATTTTATCTTTACAGAGCAGAAAGGGTTGTCATTATGTAGAAAGCTGAATCATATATTTTGCTGGAAAAAATAAGGACACAAATTAGCAAAGCATATGTGTGAAAAGAAAGCTTCCATTTGTATGGTCTACATCAGACACTATGTGAAATTATAGTCCTTGATGCTTGGAATTTTCACATAATTGTTAGTACTTATGGGTAATTACTGAATTTTGATTCTAGTATAAAAATTGAAAGTAATAATACAATGTATGTTTTGCCTTGTGCTTGGGTAGTTTGGATCAAAGCCCACAGGGTGAGATATCTTTTAAGTTTTAACTGAGGAATTTTTTTTTGATCTAGGCAGAAGTTGAAGCTAATTTGTACAGAATCATTGATTGTGATAGTATGTGGGAGATTAGAGTCAAATATGTATCATGACCTAGAGAAAAAAAGTGAAGTTATAGGGTTATATATCAGGTTAACCGGAACACATTAAAGTTGTTTAAGCAATTGCTCACAAATAAGCCCTGGAGAATTTATTTTCTGCTACTTTTTTCCTAGCATCCGAAAGAACGCGAACAACTTTTTGGTTTTCTTTTTAAACGACATTACTATATGAAATGAATAATTGATGCAGAACATCACTTGAACATGGGGGTGAGACTATTTTTTAAGGTGTTGACCCTAGAAGAATAGCGCTTGGGGGTGGATTATCGGGCCTAATCATGGCTGATAAAGGGTTTGATTGTACCTCACCTGCTAGCTATAGATTTTGCTAAAAGTGGTTGCAACTCCCTACATCAACAAGTCTTACCAAATAATATAAAGATGCTGTTGAAATTAATCTTGGAGTTTTGGATTTGAAAGGGAAAAAAAGGTTTGATGAATAAGTGTTTCATGTAAATAGTAGAAGGTTGGAACAAAATATTGTGGGTAAAGAAGCAAAGTGAGGGAGGCGTACCGGTAAGTAATTTACTAATGTTCATTTATGATGCTCTGATAATTTGTTGGCTTCCCTCTCTAGATGTCTGTCTTTGAGATCTGTTTGATTGCTTGCATTGCAACTGGCAACCATTCGTCAGTTCCAGTGGTGTGCTTTAAAGGAGTTAAAATTGGCCGTTGCATAATTGGTGGACTCATTGAAACAATTGTTTGAAACTGATACATTGACAGAACTTCAATGTAGGTAACCAGGACCCATTTTCTTGTAGCTGTTTTTAGAAATACTTTCTTGCTGAAACAGTTTGTGGATCATTTTCTTGGGGCTTGACATCTGTCATCAACAGACTTTTACAGTAACTGTTTGCTTTATGAGTCACTTTCTGTTTGGATTGGCGCATGGTTGCCTCTTTAAATCCTATCTTTCAAGCACATACACACGTGACCTCGCTCAAAGTTGTGGACATTGTATCAAGAGTAACAGTCTTATATTATGGTACTATTAATTGATGTGCAACAATTCTAAGCATTATATATCAGGATTTTGTTCTCATTTTGTTTTCCATTGCAACTACGGGCTTCAATATGTTTACAACAAATAAATCTCCTGCTGCAAATTTATTTATAATGATCCTGGAAATATAATCTATTATTCTTATGACAATCTCATGTTTCCCAACATCCATGCAATTTGTAGGTGTGCAACTAGTATTCTGTTCAGCAGACACCGTTATTTTCATTGGCTTTTGATACATTTGTCATTTGCTGGATAAAGGCAAACTCTCAGATATCTAAGTATTTGTTCAAAGATGGCATCTGATAAAGGTTAAGTTTGTTTTCCAGATTTTTACTTTACCCTTCCTATTGACTCCATGATTGATATCTCAACAACCTTTATATAAAAACCTAAAAACATTAAACTTTTTCTTTTGATGTCATTTGATTATGTTGTCTCACATTTTGTTTGCTATTTTTTCACAGGAGTAGCTATTGTTCTTATGGGAGTCAGTGGTGCTGGAAAATCGTGAGTATTAAAATTCCATTTGATATGGCCTATAGTTTCATCACTATCCTTTTCCTTTTCGTGTACTTTTGCTTTTTCAGTTGATACCGACCTTAGTTAGTTATCCATTTGCTGCAATCATCTCACTATTTCTTATCTCTGTGTTTTATTTGTACAAGTGCTGAAGCCAGCCACAGTAAAATTGTGATTATAAATATAAGCGAACTCCATAAGATTTTGGTTCTCTATCCATTTCCTAGTTATGTGACATGGGAAATAGTGAATTTCCATCTCAACAGTCAGCATCTATGATTAGAAGCATTGTATCCTAAACTGCAATTTGGTAAATTAGATTTATGAAAAACTATAGCCAAGACTAAATGGCTCCTGCAAATTTGTTATCACTTACAATGCAAGTTTCACATGAAGTTGGATCATCACGATTTCTTCCAACTATTGGTTCACTGTGGGTTTAGCAAATATAAGCAGCCACTATAACAGCTCTTGTAACCAAATTTTGCATTTGTTTCTTCCTTAAATTTCTGTTTTAAGTTTCTCAAATTAATAATTATAGCTTAAAACTAATGATTTAGTTCCTTTTCAAATTTAGTTCCTTTTCAAATGAATCATTTCCATTTTCAAACCTCTTTGTCTCCATTTCTGTAATTTGCATTTTAATTCAAATCTTAGAACAAAATGTTCTGTCACTTGTATCTGCTCGCACTTGACTTATCATGTCATTTCTTCTCCAGAACAGTAGGCGCAATGCTGGCAAAAGTAATCAATGGACACTTTCTTGATGCTGATGACTACCATCCACAATCAAACAAAGGTAGGGATTTGCATTAGAAGATCACGTTGTCGTCAGATATATATAGGAAAAATTGTAACAGAGGTCCCAACCAATGCGTGATGTAGTACTTAGGTCCCTAACATATGTTTCATGATATCTGGTTCACTCCCTTTCAGTTTTATCACACTGGTGGATAGTTTCCATCCATTGATTCCATTTGACTGTTAAAAGCTCAGATGTTTCACACCTGAAACACTGGCTACAAAATTGAAATGGTGAGGACCTAGATGCCGATAAACTTAAGTTAGGTCACCAAGTGCTACATTGTGCATAGGTTGGGGACTTATCCAGATAGAATATAGTATGATAACATTTGTAACAACACAGAGAAGATGCAGAATGGGATCCCTCTTTCAGATGAAGATCGCATTCCTTGGTTAGAAACTCTACGCGATTCCCTACGGGTTGGCTTGTTGAATGGAGAAACTGCAATTCTTGGATGTTCGGCTTTGCAAAAGCGGTACAGAGAAATTCTTAGATCAGCTGATCCAGATTATATACCAGGTTCTTATTTATGTACGGTAAAGTTTGTTCTGTTGGAGGTTCCAGCTGAGGTGCTTGCTGCTCGACTAGAGAAAAGAGCTGCGGAGGGGAATCATTTCATGCCCGCTAAGCTCTTGGAATCTCAATTGGCTTTGCTTCAGATCGAGGAAGCCGAAGAGATAATGAAAGTGGATGCTTCACTAGACCCTCAAGCCATTGTTAGAACTATACAAGCTTCAATCTGAATTTATAAAGCCATTTATCTTGATGTATTAAGAGGGTGTTTGTTATTGCTTATAAGTACAAAAATGAGTATTGCACAATGCCTGATTACTTGATTTCGATTTGGAAGAGTTCTTGTAACTTGATATTTGTGGAAGAGTCTCCATTACCAAATTAATTCAAATATTAAATGATGATATTCTTGTCAAAGCCTCTTCGAAATAAATAGATATATGAATAAAATAAAATAAAAATAGAGAGAAAAAAAGAGAAGTTTCTGGAATTACAAAAATGCTACTTGCACTAGGAAATTTTACACACTGGCTTAGGGGGTTGATGTGACAAATTTGATTGGTTGGTTTAACTTTCTGTTTTGTCCGAAATTCAATGAGATCTCGCCACCTGTAAACCAATCTGTAAATTTTCCCGTACATGAAGCACTTGTCCTTGAATTATCAAACTGAAGCTGCTATGAAGCCATAATAGCCATTGTCGGGTACAACAATTTCCACTATTGGTGACAAATTATTGGGCCCATTAACTAACCTGAATGGGCCTCGTGTGGAGGCCCGACAAGCAAACACAGAAGATATCCCTCACGTGTGGGTGGGGTTTTGAGGGTTGGGGTCCACACGTGCAAGCGTCCAATGTCTTGTCAAGGTCAGACACGTGTGTGGTGACGCTTATAAAATTGCCTTCACAGCCACCCAAAACTACGGGCCTTAACTCACTAAAATGGGACAATTCCACGTGGGCTCTTTGGCCCATTTCCGGAAACTTTGGTGATTTGTTTCTTTGCTTGGCTAAATTTGTCTCTTAATTAAAATGTCAGTAAAATTATGAATAACCATGATTCATGCATCCCCAGTTCGGGCCAACATCACAAAATATAAGTCCTATAATTGATTTGATTGTTTGATGTTATGTTCATACACAATTTATACAAATAACAAAATAATTTGAAAAACGAAAACAAGTCAATTATTTGGCATACAATATTGGTATAATATGATCACTACTACAAATCAAATTTGGAATACAGAAAGAAACCCATTGGTTTCATCAAATGATGCGGAAAGTTTAAAACTAAAACCCACAAGCTCGTCTAGAACGCATCATAAAGGTCACTTGTTCACAAGTATTTTCACCGTTTGCCACAACAACATCGTTTATGGACCAACCCTAATTATTAGTGGATTAAGAAATGAAGGAGAGGAAGAGTTGGAGAGTATAAAGAAGAGTATGTTCTAATTAACCTACTTTCATGCATTAAAGTACCATCTAGATGCCCGAATCTAACTAACACAAATGAGTCACGGAGCGATAATCCAGTAAAGATGTACTACTTAATCAAAGTCACATAATCTAGTAAGACTCAACTAAATAGTTGCTCGAACATGACGACACCAATACCTTATGAGCAATTATTCATCTTATGGATTATCATTAACTTTAGAGTAAGTGGCTCATTGCTGTCACCCTCATTGCTGTGTGGATTGCCTGAAAAAGTTAAAACTAACTATCTCCCTATGAAACAAAAAGTTTTTTCCATTTTAATCTTTCTAACTCTATTATTGTTGAGATGATAAAATACCAGGCCATTTAATATCGAAAATGTGGAAATTGGTTAATTTCCTATCATAATTATTTTGCAGTACTTGGAATATTGAAATTCCACCTTTAATATATGTCCAATTTATTGGGGACAATTTGCAGAAGATTAGGCATGTCAACACTCAAGTAACTCAATGCTGTAATTTAGATGACCTTGATACTATTATCATACTATTATCACTAATTATCTCAGCTATTTAATAAAGTTGAGTGTGTTGGTATGTATGGCAATGGGTCGAATCAAGTCGTTCCATGAGTTCAAACTATAGGCTCAACTTGGCTCATTATCAAAATGAGCTTATACTTCTGGTCCCAAGATTCGGGCCGAGCCCCATGACTTGTTGCCTAAAAGTTGCGCTTGTAGTCCTAGCTCTTCATGAGTTGATTCAAGCAGGGCCACGAGTTCTGCACACCCTTTTTTTTTTTTTTCCTTAAAGTTATTGAAAAATAAAACAAAGAATTCCTCATAAGAAATATGACAAAATGTCAATGGTATAAAAAAATTACAAATATGTGATAGATTTACAAATATATATATATATATATATATATATATATATATAGGAATAAGTTTAGCGAGTCGATCCGTCAAGCCTACGTGCCTAGTCACATGGCCTCGACTTGGCTCACTTGGCTAAAATTTGTGTTCGGCCTGGATCCTGGCTCTTTTAAAAAGGAGTCGTAGCCCCGCTGGCAACTTCACACTTATCGACATGAATGAATCGTCCGGGAAGGGCCAAAAGTGGTAATACGGTGAACGGACACGTAGGTGGTCCCCTCCAAATATCCAATCCGGTCCGAATATTAATCCCGAATTTTACGCTTACATGAAACAAGCTACTACATGGAGCGTGGACCCATACACATAGTTTATTATTTCCAATTCTCTGTAGATATGTGGACAGTGGATGGTCTTTATCCATCTCTATCTTCGGCGTGTGCTCCTCGCCAATTAATTGAACCATCAATTCAGTGAGGAAATTGATTTTTAATTATTGTTATTTGTTTTCAAACAATTTCTCACACAATAATTATACAATTTTTTTGTCTTCACTTGAGCTGAGCTATGTGATCAAAACTTGCCAAATTGACAACTTTACCATCGAGCATTACTATAGAGTTGATGACAAAGTTTTTGAGTCCATTAATCGACTCCAGAAACTTTGTTACACCTTGATCTCAATCTACCTCGAGATTAGAATTATGAATTGTGTATTCTAGTGATCCCATTTGTTAGAATCAGATAGCTTCTCGTACATATTGAAATTACAATAGCTAAATGGCCACAACGTTCGAGTAGAGACATGGTCACTTGTGTTATTATAGAACATATGATAGTCTTTCAAATATCAAAATGCAAAGGTACACTGAGTTTGAATTACAATATTTTAAGTATCAGAGTATCTATCATCATTACGATCCCTTTTCTCGAGTCGCTAACAATTTCTCGTGTTTTTAATCCACACATTGGATGGTGTTTTCGAATTGAAGGTCGAGAAAATTGAGGTGGACAAAGCTTATTATTACAAAAACCTAAGTTATTATGTTTCGTAGGTAAGTTAAGAAATCAACATGATATCACAGCTTTAATGAAGATCTCGTTGTGCAGTAATTGTCTTGTCTGTGTGTTTTTGTTGAGCCTGGCAGGAACAATTTCTGCATAAATATATATTTCATTATCTTATCCGTCCTTCACAGCAAAATCGTTTATTGCCATACTTCAGTCAAAGATTCACTCTGGCCTCTTTACAAAGGAGTAACGATGAGACTTGAACCCGTGATTTTTCTTCTGTTTTTATATCATGATGAATCGATTAATCTAAAAATTTAAATTGTTAGATAAACATATTACATATGTATGTTATCTAGAGGTCTTAAACAAAGTGAAGTTAACAATATTAATGGAGTCGGTTCGAACAAAAACTCGAAACACAAGAAAATGTAGGGTAAACTAGATTCTTGAAAGTTCAAATAAATATACTTCAAATTGAAATGTTTTAGAGATAGTTTGACATAGTTTTTGCTTTTACTTGTGCTTCCTGTAGAAGACTGGTTCATTTTTATTTTTATTTTATTTTATTTTATTATTATTATTTTGGTAGAAAACTACCTCAATTTTAGTTTGATAACTAAATTTTAAAATAGCTTCTTATTTTGAAAATGTTTTTAAAGGAAGTCACGTTAGATCAATTTCCTTTCAAAACTCTTCTAATTCCTATAAAAAAAAAAAAAGAAGGGTTTCATAAAACTAATCAAATGGGTTCAAAAATAATTTTTGAATTTCAAAAGTTCCCTTTAATTTTTCAAAAGTCATGTTAGATGGATCCTTAGCCTACCCACCTCTAGAAGCTTGTGTAACCTAGCTAAGCTAGGCCCTTTTTAGGGTCTAAAAAAGGATAAATGAAGCTATCCATTAATTCATCTTTAATTGAATAAAGTCCTTGATCCCATTTTTTAAAATTCAATTTTCTAAATTTATTTTCAATAACAAATTATCTCAATATAGCATAATTCTGTACTTAATCTAAAAAAAAAAAAAATTCATACTTATTAATTATTAACCATGCAAACTCCAAAAATTCATTTTTCATAAAATTTATCATCGACCAAAAAAAAAAAAACAATTTTTAGGCGGCCTTTTGCTGATTAATCTACTTTAACTGAACAAATTGACACGAGATGAGTGGTAAATATTGGCTATATACTGCTAAATAACAGTACATATGCTTAAATAATAGAGACAAAGTTAACTTTGCTTTGAATAAAATTGATAAGAGAATGTTTAACTGTGTATAGAAGATAACTTTCTTAGAAAGTGATTCTATAAATAAATAAAAATGTAACTTAAAAGTAAGTTCAGCTTATTAAACACGGCCAAACATGCACGTAACTTACCGTTTTAGTACCCATTCCATGAGAGTTCAGTGGGCAGGATTTCTGGCTGGAAATAAGACAGAAACTCCCACAAAAATCAAAATGTGGCAAGATTTGCAACATAAACAGCTGGCACATTTGAAGTTGGACAATGAAACAAAGAGCCTACCTTGAAATAGGAACTGTTTTTGTACATGGCTACTCATTACTCATTCAGATTCTACCATAATAAATAAAGAAAACATTAAAATGATTAGTTAAAGTAAAACAGTTCATTGTTTTTGTGTTACCAAGGGTCACAAATGTCCTCAATCAATATTAATCCATTGCTTATGGCCAGGAGTCCATTTGGGGCACTTTGGACTAAAATAGCAAGACACCACCCTGAAGTTCAAAAGTTCGACAATCGGCGCGAATTTCACACACCGGGGCGTTTTGTACTGGTTAATCGAGGCCCCCAAACTAATCGCATAGTCCATAAGCTTATCGAAGGTCCCAGCTTCGACAATCTTGATTTCGAGAGCGCCAATTGATTTGTCGGAGACGCGGCCTTGACGGTAGACACTGTTGAGGGACTCTTCAATAGTGAGGCAACAGTCTTCTAAAACTGAAGGAGGGACCGGGGTGGAGCCATTCACACTTAGCTCCCAGTAGAGCACGTAGTGCCCTGGAATTGTTGTGGTGTCAGCATAACTCGTGTACTCGATGA